CCCCCCACGCAGCGATATGAACATACCACGACATCAGCCTCCCACGCTGGGACGTTAACATACCATGACATCAGCCCCCCACGCAGCGATATGAACATACCACGACATCAGCCTCCCACGCTGGGACGTTAACATACCATGACATCAGCCCCCCACGCAGCGATATGAACATACCACGACATCAGCCTCCCACGCTGGGACGTTAACATACCATGACATCAGCCCCCCACGCAGCGATATGAACATACCACGACATCAGCCCCCACGCTGGGACGTTAACATACCATGACAGCATATGCCATGATGCGGCGTTAACATAATCAGCACAGCGGAACACGAACGCGACGTGACATCACTTTTATGACAAAATGCAATCACAACATGACATTGCCCCACAAGGAGACGGATGCAACCATTACATGACACGACCCCGACGGGGATGCGATACACGGTCATAACATGGTGTTACGCGAGATGATGCGAGAGTGAAGACAGATCGCAGCTACGCGATCGGTCGATCACGCCAGTGGGCCCTGCATTCGTCCACTAACACACAGACAGAAAACAAGAAAGTCATGGACATCAGCCACGTAAGAACGCATACGGTAAGATCAAGCGTGAGATGCAAACCTTCTAGCGTTCGCGGCAGGAAACCACGCCGCGACTCTAAAAATGTCGTTTGCGATGACCATGCGTTATCGAACAGATACTGCTAGCAACTGCAACGTGGGAGCGGAGTTGGGGCGGGCTGACCGTACACGCGCGTGATGAACCGAGGAGTGTGTGCCACGACACGAACGAGACATCAACGCTGAACGCTGTGCAACTGCGCCTGCGATTCATGCACGAAAACTGCCAACAAGCTTCACTTCCAGGCGACAGGGCCATGTCCTCGGTAACCGCGGGCATCGTGCTTCGAATCAAACGAACCTAGTTTGTGCGGACATTATCTATCACTGGTTGAAAGCGCGAGAGGGTTAGATGCGGTTACGATAAGCCAAACACGAGGAAGGAGAATTAGTCGCAATTTTTAGCCACGGCAGCTAGGTTCTGTTACCTTCCGAATTTTCTGACTGCGCAGTTTCCAAATCTGAAGTGATAGAAAGTAGGTTGGTTTAATCGGATCTCATCGCCGCTTTTCGCCCGGCACGTGACCGAACAGATTTGCTACAGTACGTGGCTACGTCACCAAAAATTGCTCGTCTGCCGGGTCGCAGGAAAGGTTAGGTGATAAGAGAAAGAAAAAACCGAATCAATTCGGCAAGCAGGAGTAGCACTCCGACGTGACGACACCGACGACGCTCATCGTACGTTCGTCTGACGGTCGCTATGACTAACTCGCGCCGAATTATTCGCCGCCTTCGTTACCGTCGTCATCGTCGATCGTGTGACTCACCTGCGCAGAAGACGCCGACGCATGAGACGAGGAAGGCCGTCAACGAGCAGATGACGATGATGATCATATGTTGTTGAGCCGGCGGACCTCCGTTCTGAGCCGTCACGACGGGGTCGTCTGCAAAGAAACTCGACGCGTTTTCTTTTGTCTTTTTGGCGCCATTTTGTTGTTGAAAACCATGGGGCGTTCGGCAACCGCGTTGCTTTAATCTGGTTTTAAGATTGGATGAGGTTCAATGTTGATTGGTTTCAAGATTGATTTGGTTAGAGTATTTGTCCGGCAGCGATAGTCGCTCTTACGCGAATGAGGTTGTCAGTGTTACGCTGGTACTCTATATGCACTGCCGACTAAACCATATCGGGATAAATTGTCTTGTTCAATGACACAATCGTTGTGGGACTTGAAACACAGATCGCTCAACCCGAAGTGATTATTTTGCAAGCCGACGCAGATCCGAGCAGTGCGAGCAACATGCATCTTCTCGCTCCCCGTTAGAGTACGTACTTATATTGACACGTCGTGTATTTCGCAGAAGACGAGAATATCTCATGTGAGCAGAATGGTTTATTAATGTGATATTAAATTATATAATGTAATAATTCCCCAGTGCCCCCCCCCCGCTGAAAAAATCCTAGCTACGCCACTGTGTACGCCACGGACACTCACACCGCAAATGTACGCCCGCGCATGCGCAGTCGCTTCACTCACCTTTCCGCGGCGGCGTCGGCGGCATTGTCTCCACCTCGGGAAACAGATAGCGATTTTTAGATTTTATTTCTTCGATCTTCGCGAGAAGGTTATCCCGATGCCTCTTCGTTTGTTTGGAGAGTAGCATTTCTCTCTTCAAGGTTTCCGTGAGGAAGAGTTCCGCCTCTGAATAAAATAAACATCACATAAATGAAATATTGTTTACATACAGTCAAACATGACACCTCTGTACTTTTATATAACCAGACACCTGGCTATAAAAGATAAAACATTCCCTCGCTAGAGGGCTATGATATATACTCAATACGGAGCGAACACCTGTTCAACGCAGACAGAGAAAAATTATTTTATATCCCTCGAGTATGTTACCACTACATACAACGATCACTCTCCTCCAAGACGATGGCTAGAGGTGAGGTCAGAAGCTACTGGACCCCTTTCTCGTATATATAATGAAAATATAAACGCGGGTGGATAATTTAACAAATATACGCAGCATTTATTATATAATACGTACGGGTGTGTTACGTATACAGTTATGTCAGGGTCCTGCGCGCCTGTGTAGGCCTACCACGGCTGAACCTTACAGTGAGTTTATGGTGTTATTATATATCTGTGTAGATAAGACTTTTACGCGTGATAAGTACACATGTACTAAGAACACACGCGCAATGTTTACTTTCCGCTTTTATTTGCTACCAATCTTTCGTGTTGCTATTGGTACACGCGAATATGTCAGATTTTTTTTGTGGCAACTAAAATGTTTAACTTTCACGCTGTGTAGTTTATGTATGCGTTTCTCTACGTACGTGTACAGCTGCTTATTACGCGTGTAATTTCCATATACAATTATAGCACTTGGCTGCGTAATCAAATACATCGCAAATCATCGTAATACGAAATAATAATAATAAGTATTTTATATCTAGCAATTAAGCATCTGTTCTGATATTTCAAACACTTATGCTAAAGACTTAGAGGGAGGTAAGGTTACTACAACCTACCGCTTATTCTGCAGCCAAAGCTATAGACATAATATTGACTGAAAGGTTGCATGCAATTAACTAACTCATGAAATAGCTCCTATACAAACCATGTTTATTCTATATGCAAATGTGTCTAATAACAATATGTAATAATAAAAATAATAAAAATAATATAAATTATAAATAGAAATAGTAAAAGTAATGTATTATAATGTATTAATAATAATGTATAAATTAATGCAATGTTGAATAATATAAGCGAGAGCTTACCGACGCAGACTTTATTGGCAGATACTAGTTGGTTCATCGGGCAGTGGCACTCGTAGTCCGTGCCCGACGTGAGAATGCACATGGCGCCAACCGGGCAGATGCAGCCGTGTGGCGTAACGTACGTGATTATGACCGCACCGGGACCGGTGTTGAGACTGAAGCGGTCATTGCTATCAAGAGCGTGTGGCGTCGCGTACGACCATCCGCCTCTGCCGTCGTTTTCAATGTCGTTCACTTGCGCGTCGCCACCTGCTCGTAAAACAGTAAACATTTGCTGACACTGTGGACGTCAGAGGAATTCTCAAGAACAACTGCTTCGTTGACTGCACATCTTTCATCTCGCCAAGTTTCTATCTAGGTCTAAGCGTTAATGCCCGCAATGTTTTACGTACGCACTGAACGGACGAGCGCAAAGTAGAGACCCACCTCTGTAGCCTCCTCCACTGCCGCCGGCCATGCAAGCTCCTCCGCCTCCCCCGTAACCTCCCTTCGTGTTCCACGTGAGCTTCTTCATTGCCAGGGCACAGGCCTCGCCACCCTGGCTACCGTCAATTAGCGAGCGGCCCGTTGAGGTGGAGTTTGTCTTACCATCCCACCCGCCTCCCGCGCCTGGCAAACAAAGACGAGTTATTAAGAAGTAAATACATAAATATAAATAAACGAATAAAAAAATCAATGAAAAAATTAAACAATTCACGAATAATGAATAAATAAATAAATAAATGAATAAATAAATAAATAAATGTTTAGTTAATCAAATATATACGACGGTTCATATTATGACGATACATAATCCACAGATCTATCTATAGAGAAAAATTCAACAGAGCACCTGAAGAGCACTGCGTGTTGAATCAAATGTTGAATTAGCTGCCTATAAGCATGTGTCACTCTACTCACGATCACATACGATGATTAGTGATTTAGTTACCTGGCCCATCTTTCAGCATGTTGCCGTTTCTACCAGCGAGCCCACTGGACGTGTTCAAAAATCCCAAGCCATTGAGTTGATGCGTCGCACCAGCACCGCTTCTGTACGACATACCTCCTCCACCAGCAGCCACTAGCAGAGGGATCGGTTTCATGTCCTTGAGCTGAAGGAAATTCGGGAAGGTTGTAGATTTCATATTTATGGCCACGTCTTCTTGTAGTCGTGAGTGTCGAGGCGATTGTCGTCTCGAGTTCGCTTCTTTAGATTATATGCGTATAGCCAATGATAATTGTCATTATCAGTTTGCCTCACCTTGAAAATAAATGTGGCACCACCTCCACCGCCGCCACCTCCGGCATAGTTTGACCCGTTGCTGTTGGTAAGAAACTTCTTCCTATCGAGGGAGTCTGGGATCTCCCCATTGCAGATGCTGCCAACAAGCGTTCCCGTGTCCATCATCTATAATGCAGCAAATTAACACGAACATGAAGGTCGGGCATAGATTACCGACAACCGGCCGAAGATTGGCTAGTGCGGTCTGCACGAATTATCCATTTAGAGGTACCACATGTGGAACCTGCTACACATGTAATTATAGTATCGACGTTTACAGACTATAGGAGACGCGTAGCCGTAGCCTTTCGTCAACTGTGTACGGTTGCACTATACTCAGTCTCTGGAAAAGGGGTTTTCAGCCATTTTTGTGGTAATCTTCGGTACTAGAGGCCGCTAATTTGCTATATAACGGCAAGCTAGATGCCCCAAAGATATAGGCTATATAAGGCTAGAAAGTATATTGTCGCGTAATTGAGCCATTCCCTTAAGCGATGTAGCCATGGCACACATTTTAGTCTGTGAGACAGGATACGATGACTTGCAGGAAACGCGCATCATTCAGCTGGCAAAAGGATCCATCAGAGTCTAGACCTTATACGCATTACCACTTAGTGCCCTGGTTCCCAACCGGGGGTACTAGTACCCCCTGGGGGTACCAGAGAACACCACAGGGGGTACCTGGGAAGCCTCTTAGACAATTTAAAAAAAGTAGTGCTATATAATAATCAGCGGGTGATTCAGGCATCTCTATCGACAGTGCCAACAAATCATGGTTTTCGGTCGAGGCAAGCAAGCGACAGAGTGGTACCCTCCGCGTGCCAGCGCAGCAGCAGCAGCGAAGCCCACGCAGCAGCACGGGCCGCAGGGAGGAGGGGGAGGGACCCTAAATGTGCCAGTGCAGCAGCAGCAGGGCCCACGCAGCATGGGCCAGAGGGTACGGAGTTACGTTTGTAACCAGCTACCTGTGTGAAGCAAGCTTTTCAGCGATGGTTACAATCAAGACAAAAGCCCGTAACCGCCTTGAAATCCGCAGAGACAGCAGAGTCAGTCTGTCAAAAACTGAACCACGGTTCAAAAAGTTAGTTTCTGCCATGCAGCAGCAGTCTTCTCATTGAACGGTCGTTTAGTGCACAGTGCGCTTGATTGGAAAAATTCGCTGTGCGACTGCATTAATAAAACATAAAGATGATGTCAAAATATTCATGACAATACATCAGTGTTGGTTCTTCCTTCACGACGTTCTATTTCTATCTATTCCTGTCTACGCTGCGATCACGTGGCCAGGCGCATCCGCCTGATCTATATAATAATATATAGTATGTACTGAAGCCGTTGCCTGTAGATGTGAATGTGGGCGAGTGAAGCTGTTTGTGTGTGTGTGTGTGTGTGTGTGTGTGTGTGTGTGTGTGCGTGCGTGCGTGCGTGCGTGCGTGCGTGCGTGCGTGTGTGTGTGTGTGTGTGTGTGTGCGTGCGTGTGTGTGTGTGTGGTGTGTGTGTGTGTGTGTGTGTGTGTCTGTGTGGTGTATGGTGCGTATCCTGCCGTGCGCAGCGCCCAGTGTATGTGTGCGTACCTGCGTGCGCGCGCGTGTATGTGTGCGTACCTGCGTGCGCGCGCGTGTATGCGCGTGCGTGTGTGTTTCGTGTTGTGTGTGGCAGGAATTAGTAAACGTTGTATAAATCTGATTCGATCATTTCTGATTTCGCTCATGATTTGAGTAAATTGTTTAACTAGTAGATATTATTTTGTAGTCACGCTTTGGTAATTATATATCATGCGATATAATATCTTCTCAATCGTGTTGACGAAAATAATACGACAAGAGTAGACGCTGATTGAAGTAAAATCAATTAGGAGAATAAAATTGCTGAGTGTATAAACTGTGAGTGATATGCTAAATATTTTCTCATTTAAATATTAAACAGTATTTTAAATACAGAGCGGCATTTCATGCATATAGATACTAAGAGGCATGTCATTGTGTGTCACTGAAGTAGATTCATTAACTGCAAACGAGCCATGTGCTATAAACTCGCATCAGAAGCAGGAGTGCAAAGAAAAATGATTGTGAAACAGAGACGTATTGGAATGCTTGAGATACGCATATATCAGCCACGTGTTGAAGATTATAGATACTAATATTAAGAGCGTATAAAGAATGTGGACCATAAAATATGTACCATGTATATACTATATAAGAACTCTATTATACTAAATAATACGTTATATTAGTATGTAGAGATCAGTGAACTGTACTAGACAGCTCCCGGACTAAACACTAGAATTATAATTTTGTGTTTGCGGGCGTCTAATGAGTGGAGTGAGTCATCTCCTACACCAAACATCCCCGAGTCACTTATATTATGATCATAGCGGCAGCAGGCTAACCCAAGTACGTACTCGACTTGGTAAATAAAGGAAAAAGGACAATACGCGGTCTACAAGCAAGCAGTCAGATAAACGTACGGTAGACCCAGACGCCGAAGCGGGATGGCAATTAGCGTTTTGATATACGGTATGTATAGAGCCACTAGAGACGTATCACGTGTAACAAGTCAGCCTGGCTGGTATATCAGCCTGTTCTGCTAGCATCTATGCCAAATGGGTGATTCTGAGGTTAGATGGCAAATTGCTGTCCTGACCACCCTTGGTCAGAATTCTTTAATGACTTGCCAGGTTTTGAATCAATTTCATTGTTTGATGAATGTCTTAGATCATGGTAAAAATTAGCACTAAACTGGATTTCATATACATGAGATTTCTTAAAAAAAAATTAAGTTTGATGTTCAGATGGTCTCGGAATGGCCTGTCCTAACCCATGGTAGCCAAATTTCCACCAATGATTTGAAGCTGTTGTCGTCATTCAAGGATGGGAAATCTAGTTTGGGTGGAGTTGCTATTGTTTCAACTGTAATTCAGCAAAGTTTCATGCGCCTGTGACCATAAGTGTAAGATGGGTGAACCTCAGACCTATTGTCCTGAATTTTTATCAACTTCGTTACGACTGTATTGTGCGGCCATCTATTCATAGACAATGGTGTTAACCAATGACCAATCAGATCCAATCAGACCAAATAAGACCAAATCAGACCAATCAGACCAATCAGACCAACCAGCATCACATTTCAAGGAGAAAATTTGCCAAAAATAGGTGCGTACTTAACTTGCATCACCTCTGTTACGCAAATTGTATGATAAGTAACCATAGAAACCAAACATCATAAATTGAGGAAGACAGGCATATTGACCTCTTGAATAAAACATTATTTGCATCTTGCCCTTGCTCCATGTGGAACCAACAAGGTCAAACATGACAAAATTATCAACTCCGTTACAAAAATTTATAGGCCCTTATAAAAGTATACAAAAAAGTAAAAAAGTAAAAAAGTGTAATAATCTTTGTGGTTTCAGGGCCACGGTGTTACAAATATTGGAAAAATTCCAAAAATATGCCAAAAGGATAAAAAAAATAATTCAGTTATTTAAAACTGCAATTTGCCCTCTAATCTCAGAATCACCCAAATACGACATACGCATATACGCTCTCCTATGACACTATTTATCATAGGAAGATTCTTCCTATGACAAATATTGTTGTATGTGTTGTGCGCATCATAGGAGTTTAGGAGCGCTATTATGAACGCAATCAGTGAATTTCAGCTGTAAAGCGTGGCGAAGTTGACTCGCCAATATTTCTCATAGGAAGAATTTTCCTATGACAAATAGTGTCATAGGAGAGCGTATATGCGTATGTCGTATTTGTCATAGGAAGAATTTTCCTATGACAAATAGTGTCATAGGAGAGCGTATATGCGTATGTCGTATTTGTCATAGATGCAGGCAGAACATGTTGGGTATATAGCTGAAATTAGTCTCGGCCAGCATCTCGAGATAAACATCATGCATTAGCACGCAACGGCAGGGCAGTAGGCTGAGAAAATTTCTATGGGGGGGGGGATTTCACGACTCAACTGTGTAATGCTGAGGGACGGGCGCAGCTCTTGATCGACGTCCATATAGTGTGGTAGTGGTGGGTCTGAGACAAGGCTTTCACGGATGAGTGACCAAAAAAATCACGATAGGGTTATTTACGATTATTAGCTAAGCTTATTTCTTTTAATTTTGCCCCAAAATCTAGGGGGCATCCCCCCCCCAGGGGATAGGATTAAGAAAGCAACGCTTGGCAAGAAGCTCGTGTAGGGACGCAGCGTGGAATCATATAGTTTGGATACAGAAACACATAAGCATAGAAATTAATCCGCAGCAAATCAGGCTAGAATAACATGCATGCTGCGTTAGTAGGGTATATGGTGGGTGCAGCGCTCTTGTTATCCATCGCTTCATTCTCCGAGACGATACTCTAAATGCGCTAAATGCTTCAAAATCGTGCTTTTAAAATGGGAATTTGATTGTACTGGAAATGCCACATCCGCACAATCATGGGAGATGGGGACGTGATCATGGTTACACACCAAATAGTTTTGCGAAATTTATGGTCGAAAAAATTCGAAAGAAATGAATGGTTTTGATGTTTCTTTAATATTTATACACACGTACTGGCTATTAAAGTTTATGCCGTAATTGGTAACCGTAAATATAGTAGCTCTGCGGATGTTACAAATTTAAAATGATAAAACTCTTATTAAAGTTACTGTTTACCATTCACGGTCAAATTACTGTATCGCATTCCTTATACTTGTCGTTACATTTTTGACGAATAACAAATAGCACGACATCCTCATATTTTTTAGAGAAAATATCATATTGGTCTGCAGATAATCCTGGTAACTAACAATACACAGTGTGTTGTATGTTTAGGCATTTGACAATACACTGTGTATTGTTAGCGAGTGTTCAACAATAGACTGTGTATTGTTGAACACCTTCTAACAATACACTGTGTATTGTAGTAGGTACCTATGAGCTTTCAACAATACACTGTTTATTGTTGAACACCTTCTAACAATACACTTCTTTTTTCTTACTTTTTTTTTAATTAGTTTACTTTTTGATTTGTAAACTTGAAATTGACATTTATTGAAATAAATTTATTGAAATTATTTGATTGATTTTATTTAATTTATTAAAAATGTAATTGAATTTAAATACACAGTTGCTAGGTACATACTACAATACACAGTGTATTGTTAGAAGGTGTTCAACAATACACACTGTATTGTTAAAAGTGTATTGTTAGTTACCAGGATTATCTGTGGATTGTATATCTTTCACTTTAGGGAAGGTAGTTAAGGCTATTACTACAACGACTGATTGCATTTAGATTTGGCAATATCCGATTAACATTATTCCTACTATATTATGCCAATTACTCTACTAAGGGAGAAAACCTTTGAGATCAGACGAGGAGGAATTAAGCTGCGGTTGTATTAGTGAGCTACATTACGTGAAGGATATACGTAATAGTTTCGAATGTAGTTCTGTATTAGACAAGAAAACAACTTGCCACGCCCAAAACGCATCACTTCAGAGTACAACTAGGAGCACAAACATGTGTAAATAAGTACCGGTGCAATCATGTACCAATGTACCAATGTACCAATTATGCATCAATTATGTATTAATAATAGTATATTATTCGTAATAATAACAAACACGCTATTTATAATGATCTAGCTCCCTCGGCAACGTTTAATATTACCGTGACCGAATTTATCGGTACGTTAATGAGCACGTACATTAATATAATACGTCTTTTTCATTTCAGGTCATGTTTTCCCGTTTTCTTACAATTATTTGCAATAATATTTACCGCTTCGAACGTTTCTATGGGAGATTGTTGGTAATAATGTAGTAATGCGATATATATGCACGTGACTAATCAGACCGTGTATTGAAGCATACAGAGTGCGACGAGCCATCGCTATACGTTCAACTAAAAAGAGATGATTCTCCTGGCCTCCGGCATGTTCATGTTACGATGAGGTCTGATTATATAAATTGATTTGAAGGCGCGATAGTTTCCCGTTGAGAATAAGGTTCAGCCGAGAAAAAATTGGTGATAGGTAATTGCGCGAGAGGAAGCATGGTTATATCATGGTTATTATATGTGTATCCGGAGCTTTGACGATATTGTATAAAACACGGAAACCTATCCCGTTATCTGAAAAAGAATGGGTTTGGAATTTACTTGCGGGTTGCTAGCAAATATAATGTTGACTTCAATTATTAAAAATGGAATATGAGAAACAAGTTTGGTATGAAAACAGACTTGCGTAAGTCTGGAATTTCATGAGAGCTGAGGATGTGATTATGTAAGAAAAAGATGCACTACTACAAGCTGCGGACTTGGTGAAGTGTCATTGCACACACTCTTGTGTGACAATTTTCCATTGGAAATCCGATGAAGCTAAAAAAAAAAGATAATAGCTGGAGAAAAATTCCACAGCAGCCGGTATCCAAATCAGTATTGTTGCAAGGCGATTACCCACTGTCGCTTTACTAGCAAAGCGAAAACAAAGACGCCACTCGTCATTTCCAGAAATATTAAACTTTCACGTTTTCTTCCAATTAAAATCTGATTGTTTGCATGCCTGCAATTTTATACAAAACATGTCCGCGTTAACACGTGCTTCTCTGTTGTAATACCGAACTGATTACCATTATGTACGTGTGCACTATATGTATACATGCACGTCCATAAAATAACATCAGACCAGTCTAGGTAACGCTGCTAATTAATACTAGCTAGGCGGAAAGCTGTGCCGTTGAATGTTATTTGCAACCAGAGCCGCTTCTGTATTAATAAGCCAGTTCGTAGTTAACCAAGGGTTGTGTGCCGTCACAGGTCACCGGGTCATTTGTGACAAAAATCGATGAAATCTCGAGTGCGGCGTTGCGCTCTCGGTTCAGTACGTATATGTACATGTATTCTGTGTACGTGTACACGCACGCATGTGTACGTGAACACACACGCACGCACGCACGCACGCACACGTGCATACGCACACACGCACGCACGCACGTGTACGTGCACACGCACGCATGCACGTGTACGTCCACACGTACGCACGCACACGTACACACGCACACACGCACGCACGCACGCACGTGTACGTGCACACGCACGCACACACGCACGTGTACGTGCACACTCACGCACGCACGCACTCTTACGTGCACACACACGCACGCCCGCACGTGTACGTGCACACGCACGCACGCACGCACGCACGCACGCACGCACGCACGCACGCACGTGTACGTACACACGCACGTACACACGCACGCACGCACGCACGCACGCACGCACGTGTACGTGCACACGCACGCAATCACATGTACGTGCGCACGCACGCACGCACGCACGCACGCACACACATGTACGTGCACACGCACGCACGCTCGCTCGTGTACGTGCACACGCACGCACGCCCGCACGCCCGCACGTGTAGGTGCACACACACGCACGTGTACGTGCATACGCACGCACGCACGCACGCACGTACTCACGTGTACGTGCACACGAACGCACGCACGTGTACGTGCACACGCACGCACGCACGCACGCACGCACGAACGTGTACGTGCACACGCACGCATGAACGTGTACGTGCATACACACGCACGCACGCACGCACGCACGCACGTGTACGTACACATGCACGCACACACGCACGTGTACGTGTACGGGGAACGTGTGTACGTGCACGAACGTGTACGTGCACACGCACGTACGCACGTGTACGTGCACACGCGAAGACTGTAGCATTACAACGACACAGATGCATGATGCGTGTACTGTACGGTCGAAATACGAAATATTTTGTTACAAATGACCAGACCCGGAAGAATTCGTGGCTAAGTTCGCGCATGCGCAGACTGTAACTACGAACTGGGGGTTCAACTGGCTTATAGTTGCGAAATATTAACTAAACAACCGTCTTAAACATTTCCGGCACTCGAGTCACCACTATACGCTGGCATGCCGTACGGACGGTCGTTACAGAGCGATGGCGTAGCAGACAGCTATGCAAATCAATGCGAGTAAAGGAAGAATGTAAAACCATTGCAAGAAGATGCAACAGAAAGGCGATGCTACGCGACTTGTTCTCTGTATGGTTAAATACAATCCAACATAATCCCTATATACCCTCACCCCCGGAAATAATACCAATTAATACCAATTACCGGAATCTATTACCATCAAAGAATGGAATCTCTATGCGTTTAACGCGCACACTGACGTCTCTCTATCAGATATTGCATCTATCTGATCCACGATAACTGCGTGGATGTGGCGCTTAGGGAATGCCAGCACATATTGTATTCTAGCGAATAAATAATTAATATGCAGCATGATGTATTGATCTTGTTTACTCTTCTAGGTCAAACACTGTAGTCTGATATAATGTACGAATTATCTAAATAGAATTAGGATTAGGACAGGAGCACATAAACCACATGGTATATGTGCTCTTGATTAGAATTAACGCAAGTAATTAAAACAACAATAACTCTTCGAGAAATCCCGTCCAAAATAGCACCGTATTGAACATGTACGTACCACACATCCGCATAATATATACAGAACATATTCCAGCCATACCTAACGTCAATTATCACTCCCACCTTTACCAGATTTCAAAAACGGAGGCATATTTAAACGGCTCTCAGTATTGTAGGAATAACGCAATACCAATAGTGACATGCCACTCACCCCATCATCGCGTGAAAATCTAGAAACATACCCCTGTGCAGGCGCTCTGTCCCTCCTGACCAACAAGCATATAGATGGTATCACCTTGCCTGAGGCTTAGCTGAGCGTACACCGACCTTCCTCTACCTTTTGCAGGGGTTTTCACTCCCGCACCACCACTTGCTCCCTTCGCTAGAATGCTGCGTAGAAACACCAAACGTCACCACAGAAATATAATGCTGATTGTACGTTTATGATCAAATAGCTATAATTAAAAAACTAAATGGCAAATTAGTACTTAAATTTGCGTAATTAAGGCACCCGATTATCGAAGCATCGACGGTATTTCACCAGCAGTTTACATGCATATAATGTCAATTTCCCCGCGCAAATCGATAATAATAATTTTCGGGTGCCCTACTGGGCTACTGGCCTTGTGGGCTAGTGAAGAGATTCACATGCTCTCTTCTTGGCACCGTTAAAACCGCGCGAATCGATACAACCACAGAAAGCGTATCTATAAATAGTTGACACTTAGTATGTGATTTCTTATCGGCTTCCGGTTTGATTATTGTACGCCTGCATTGCCAAGGAAAAGGCAATAAACTAGACACTGAAACAATGAATTAATTTCACTTAGATTTCTTTATTTACACAGTTGCTTATTCGGTGTTGCTGCGTGGCTAAATTATTTGAACTCGATGCGAATCATTCTGCCCACATTTACAACGACTTATTAAGTGGGGGACTAAAGGGACGCTTATGTCGAGCCGACTCGACTGGAAGCAACTGGACTTCGAGCAACTGGAAGCGATCGGCAGCGACTAGTTGCGTCCAGTTGCCCACTGTTCTATTCCGAGCAACTAGTGGCGGCCAGTCGCAGGCAGTCGCGTCGCAGTCGGCCGACCTATGAAGCACTACAGTCGCAGTGAATTGCAGCCAGTTGCTTCCAGTCGAGTCGGCTCGCAAGCCCGACATAAGCCCCCCTTTAGGGACTTAGGGTCTTACCTATAGTTGCCAGTTGCAGGCACACTCCATGACTGGATGCCCTTGTACATGCCATCGGCGATGACTGACACCTTGCTTTTTGTGTGCTTGTAGGCAGTGTCACAGTGGTTCTGTGATGGGCCGGTCGCACCAGTGGCGCCACATGTTGAGAACTCAAACTCTAAAAGTGCACACAAAAACGCGACAAATGTAACAAAATTATTCAAATTTTTCTTGATTTAATAATGAAGTGATATATGCACCTATCTAAAGATACTGATCGTGATAATTATATTGAGCCCCCCCCCCCAGGCGGTCATTTAACGCACGTAGCACACACCCAGTCCATTCGACGCATTCTCCACAAAGCCACGTGCAGACAGGCAGGGACGCACCCCCCCCCCCATACACACACAC